TGACCAACTTCATAATTTATTCTAACAAGTAAAGATAGTCCTAAAACTAATTCACAAACAGAAAAAACTAAATAAATTAAAAATTATTTATTTATTTATTTGTTGGAATTTTGTTCTTGGATTTGAAAATATTTTCGTCGGGTAGAATTAGGAAGGAACGAGAGGGATTAAACTGTATATATTTTGAAAGTTTGTCTAGAGTTTACGATATAATGGCTAGGCAATCGGGCAAACGAGCAAACAGGTACTGGTACATAATTATGTTTACCTCGGAGCAATAAAAATTTTAATATTAATAATAATAGATACGACTTAAGGATAGTAAGGGTAGAGGGTCTAAGAGGCTAAATGCTAAATCTTCGAGTATCCCTTGGCAAATCCCCGGTTCCTTTGAATTTAAGTCGCTTTAACCATCATTTGCTTGACAAATATTTATCCATCCAATTATATCGTTAAATTTCCCATTTTTCATTTCTCCACGACGATCCCAATTTTCCGAATGTTGAAAACCCAGGCTTGGCGAGCCTGGTTACAAGGAAGGAAGGCAAACGAGAAATCTGTGTTCCCATGGCCCTTTTACTCGAAAGGCGAAAGGATGTCAGGGCTCATAAAGTTAGCTGGCAATCTGGAAGGGTCGACATAAGGTCAGGCGATAAGCTGCTAGGCGCAATTAGGACGAGCCAGCCTTTATTTCCCTAATTCTCGTTTTAATCAACCCGATTCCGTGTATGTGACAGCCATTGTTCCTAGGCCAACTTTTGTCTCTGAGCGTGAATTGAAACCCCCCTCCCCCTCCCCCCCCTTTCGGCTTAATCAGCCGTTACGCGCCTTTCAATTAAAAGCCCACTTTGAACCACTTTAAATGGCACTGCCGAGGTGGAGGCATACACAGCGCGCCATCTTTCGATACTTTTTTTCGTTTTCTCTTTCCTCTCCTCTCCTCTCCTCTTCTTTTTCCGGCTTCAACAAACGAGACGCTAATAGTTTCGATACGGAACAGTTTTACAACAGTTTTACAGTTTTAACGACAGGGAGTTGGAGAGAGTTAGAGAGACGTAAAGTCTAAATGTTTAGCGAGGTGTGTGAAAATTGATCGTATTATGAGGAGAGGGGATACATCGAAGCCTAACGCTATTTGAGGTTATAATAGATACACGGGTTGACGTGGAGCGTGTTGATCGAACTTAACACGGGTATTAATCCACACGTGAAATTTAATATAAAGGATAGTTGGTTCTTTTTATTGTATTTACTATATATATATATATATACATGGATAATGATAAAATTTAAAATCAACGCAACGTGAAAAAAGCATATCGAGAGTTTAAACTCGTTCGTGGAAATTTGTCGTTCGAATTTCGATCGAAAGGTGTAAAAAGGTGTATACGAGGGGATTATGGGTTTGAAAGTCGTGTTTGAAAAGTTGTACGCGAAACACGAATAAATATTGAACTATTTTCAGGATCAGGAGGCGAGCGGTCAAATCCATCGATCATTTGTTTGACTTTCCACGCGTGCTCCCGGCCGGAAATAGAAAATAGTCTCGTGCCTGTTTGCCGATCCTGTTTGCGCAAGCTGACCCTTCACGGAGGCTTCTCTTCTCCAAGAGTTTCTGAAGAGGTCCTCGAACGATCGAGCGCGCAGATGTTTATTTTGACGCGCCGGAGTCACGATTCCTCGAGTGCCGCAATCTTTTCCGATATTCCTCTTGTCACAGTGCCACGACCACGCAATTAATTCATTCTCTCCGTTACAAATTCATGGATAACAATCATAACCTCGTAACCTCGTAATCATAACATCATAACCTCTATTCGTTAGTAACAATAACGTACAATTTTTTGAAACTTTGTGAAAAGAAAAGTTACATTCGTTCAACGATACAACTCTTGTCACCACCACAGCCACGCAATTAATTCATTCTCTTCGTTACAAATTCATGGACCAACAATCATAACCTCGTAACCTCATAATCGTAACATTATAACCTCTATTAATAACAGTAACGTACAATTTTTTGAAACACTTATGAAAAGAAGAATTACATTCACGATGCAACTTTTTTAAAAAAATAACAACGAACGAACAATTATTAACACTCCGCTCAAAGATTCAAGAGCGCAATATTGATTTGTCGATTGCCTTTTTCCTTTAATTAGAAAGTGTATAAAATCATTTTACGTTGATCTACTATGTCTCGCTCTATAAATAATCTCGAGTTCCCACATTGAAAAAGGGCTAAAAAGAATTTTCCATTTTTCATCGAGAAAGAAATCGTCGTTTAGAAAAATTTCGATCGATTTCAATTCCAATTTTATCCGTTTCCGAGTGGAACGAAAGGGAGCATCCGGGGCATGCGAAAAGAAGGAGGAATCGGCGACGAAGGGACGCAAACGGGGGTGGGGGGGGGGGGAGGAGGGGGAAGAAGAAGAAAAAAAGAAGATAGCGGATCGGAAGGAGCTTCCTCGAGGAGAGGCTCGATTACACGGTTACTTTGTCTTCTGTGAATGGGGAAGGACGCTGGCCACGGTGATCGTGCAGCAGCATAGGGAACGAGAAAAATGGCATAAGCGCGAAACCGCACAAAAGAGGACTCGCCTCACGGTTTTACCTCGTCTCGCAACGGTTACTCTCGGTCCCTCTCGTCCGTCTTCAATTGAATTCTTTTATTTATTATTCCCGCATTTACGAGAATGGAAGGTAAACAGTTTGCCCGTAAAGAAAACCGTGTTTCGCGTTCCAGGCGCATGATCAATCGCGATATTCGGTTCTCAAAGAATTCCTCTCCCCACCTTTTGCTTAATTCAATTACCACACTTCTCTCCCCTCTCCCATTCCGCGTCGGCGCGGTAGAAACTTGGCGAACCGTAAATAAGACTTTCGACCGAAATGCCTCGAATCGTAAATCGGCTATCGATGATCAGAATTTTATAAATTTCCAAAAAATCGCCACGATATTACGTTTAACCAAAAACTTTCGAATAATCTTGATAAATATCGGTGAAAGAGGATCGAAGAGAGTAATAAATTGACAAAAAGAAATCGAGAAAAGATGTAAAAAGAGAGAAGGAGGCGGTTGGAGGGAAAGGAGATTCCACGCCAGTGCGCACGGAGAAGGAGGATTCTCCTCCTCCTCCTCCTCCTCCTCCTCGTCTTCCGTCTCTCTTTCTCGAGAATTTTTTTCTCCACCGGTATCGATTCAAGACGGCGTATAATTCGATATCGATACCGTAATCCTATATGTAAGAGGCACACGCAAGGTCTCGTCACGTTGATCGGCGACCACGCGCGTCGGTTGACAATGGTTGTCGGCGATACGCGGTGGCCGGCCGATAACGGTTCGCCTTGTACGGATGCTGACCGGATTGCTGGATCGGTGGAGCGAATTCGCTGTGTCACGGGACATTATTTCAACGCGCTTGCCTCCAACCGTTGCAATTTCACCGTCGGAACACGGTTCACAACCGCCCTGCTTCTCCGCCTTTCTAATCGGCGAGGAACTATCGAGAATCTCATCTTCTTTCCGCCTGCTTCTACGATTTCTCTCGAACTTTTCCAGGTCGATTAGATTATCGTAGAGAGGAACGCAAGATTTTTTTTATCCTCTCGGTTTTCCCTTCTGCTCTCCGTGAATTCGTCGAGTTTAAAGAGAGAATTAGAAATAGAAGAAATCGAATTTCTTTCTTTTTTCCAGATTCGAGAGGGACGAAAATTTTACGCTCGCGCAGAAGTGTGCTAAGCGAAGGAGTCCCGTTGGAAAGAGGAGAGCACGTGCTGGGCTCGTTCCTTACGCACGCCTGCCAGCTGCAAATATCGTGCACAGGAATCCAACGAAATCCACGCGTCGTGCACGCATGCAGAGTGGAACACGGAGAACACGGGATCCATCTGGCGTGTGCGTGACCTCCTTGAATTATCGCGGCCCGACACTTTAGAAACTCCACTTTGCCCATTTCCTATTTCGCCCTTTTCGTGCATTCCTTCGTTCCTTCATTTCTCGTATCCAAAGAAATATTTAACAACCCATAACACCGCATTGTCATTCAAATTACGCGGCAACATTCAACAACAATTGCACGTGCTTCTTACTAAATTATTAAACAAAACAGTGAATGAGTGGCAACGACGAATAACTATTGCTGCATGTATATATATATTTAATAAAATATTCCGTATGTACCATAGATACATCCCTGAAAAGAAAACGGAAAGAGGCAGAAGATTGGGTTTCAATTTCTGTCCTCGACAGGGCAAGAGGCTAGACAATAGGCCGACGAAACGAGATGCTATCGATTAACTATGCGAGAGTACCGCCTTTCCACTCTCGTTCCTTTGTCCCCCTTTTCGCTCGCGAAAACTTCCCTCCGCCCCGTCCCCCTTTCGCCCGGAATTTCACGCACACCCCTCGCGAGCGAGGGGAGCGATCCTACCCTTCGAGGGTTAGGATCTTCCACCCTTCGTCCACGGCCAATCGCGGCCCGTGCACGCCCAGTGACGTCACGCGCACCCCTCCGCACCGTAATTAGCCAATCCCATCGCCGGGTGGCCACCATCCAACCCCTGGTCCGATTATATTTACGAGCCAATGATTTCCACCGATCCTCCGTGTACGCTCTTCTCAACCGACACTGTGCACACGTAACGTAACGCGCGTGTAACGTAAGTTGCAAAAAAAGAAAAGAAAAGAAAAAGGAAGAAACGGGAACATTGCACAATGGCCCCTCTTTCGAGCGTCTCTGTTCCTCTTCCTCTTTTCGAAGAGAGGGAAATTATCTATCGTCCGAAACCGATTGGGGAATCCAAGTGATCGATGATCAAAATTTCATCCATTTTGTAACATCAAACTGTTGATACATTAGGTGTGCAAATAAGATCGTAGCCGAATTCGAATTATTTCCCGTTCGTGGCGCCATCTGAAAAGCGTTCTTGTTCTTTTGTTTTTAAGAAGAGTCGCGATGAGCGCTCTAAGATTATTCCAGTCCAGTCCTATGCAACGATTTCGAGCGATATGGCGTGAAGCGAGAAGCGTGATTCGCGTCATTGCTTACTTTTTGCGTTCCAGCTTAGGAAATCGGTTGTCGAAGCTACCGAAACGGTTTTCGCGGCACTGGAAGAGAACGCTGTATCTTACGGTACGTGCAAGAAGATTTAAAGCCGGAAATTTTAATTTGGAAGACGACGATCATTTGAGTGCATCGAGAAAGTTCGGTGAAAAATCGCTCGATGAAAATCCGACCCAGACGCGAGAAGAATTGACGCAGAAAAAAACGATTGAGTAATCTTGTAATCTGATTTACGTAATAAATTTTGAATTTGGAAAAAAAAGAACTATTTGCACATCTAATATTTCTCGCTTGCGTAGGATGATACTTTTCGTAGGAGCTAGCATCCCTGGCTAAAATAAGATATACGGGAAAGGCACAAAGGGAGGCTAAGAAGGGAGAAGAAAAAAAAAAAAAAATAGAGACTTGAATGAGCTTCCTCTCTTCGAAGAAGGAGAAGAAGATCTTCGGTAGATAGTGATTACACGACGCAGCGGTGTACGATGGCGCGGATAGGAGGAAAGAAGAAAAGGAGACGAGGAAACGATGACGAGGGAACGGTTTCGAGGATCGATGACAATAATAAAAAGACGCGTATCATCGATTCGTAGGTGTGTTCGAGTATCGCTTTCTACTAAGTTAGGGATAATCCGCTTATGCCCGGGGCCGGCCTGTCGTTCAACGGTCGTTCATCGCCGTTCTCGGTGGCATTGTTGCCGGCGTTTTGTGAGAAAACAGCATTTTCGACGCTCGAGGTGGCGACAAGAAGAGGGCTTAACTTATCTCCGTCACAACAAGAACGGGCAGCCCTCCCTTTTCGCGTGGGACGATCCTACGTTTTTTCCTGCACCTGATTCACTTGAGAATATCGTGTACGTAAAAAATAGGTAAATACACCTCTGAATCTAATCCGATCCGAGTATTATTAGTAAATTTAAAAAAATTCACGAAACCAAGTTTTTTTTAAAAAGTTTCTTCAGAATGATTTCTAATGATTATCGCGTAGTTTTTCTTTTCGCTTTAAATAAATTTTTATAATCGCTCCCTCGACCAATCTTGGAATAATCTTCGACTGTTCTCGATCAATTTATTCCACGCTTTTGCGCGGAAAAAGAGGATATTAAAAAGAGTTGCAACGGTATTCGAAGCGATAACTCTTTTAAGCACGATATTCGTGATCGATGAAGGGTTGCACGATCACCCCTCTCCTTTTCTTTCCTCGTATAATCCCATGAATACATAATCTAGATGCAAACAGCCGCCACGCGTGGCTCGTTTTAGAACGACCGTGATATTTCACGGATTACGAATATTTGCACTTCGTTTCACGGTATCTCGATCTCTCCATTCAGGAATCGCGATCAATGTCTCTCTCTCTCTTCTCTTTTTTTATCATCTCTTTCGTTGTTCGAAAAAAAAAAAAAATGAAGTTGATGGATGAGTTCGATTCGATCGACCTGATCAACGAACCTCGTGCGTAAATGCCTTTCCTTCCACACGTGTTATTCACATGTTAATTGATAAAAAAGATGGATGATTATGATCCCTAAAATGGAGAGAGGAAAAAAAGGATGCAAAAGGATAATTAGAAAATTGTTTTGTAAATTTTCCGTAGAATTATTATTTGTTCTTAGCTGTCCATACGTGAACGGTATTCAGTTTGTTCATTCGTCATGTTAGTTTTCACGCGTTGGAACGCGGGAAAGGACGCGTGGGAACGAAGAAACTGATAAATAGTATTAAAGGCAGTAAGAATGAGAAGCTCGTTGAATTACAAAAATTGATCGTTTTTAACGCTCGAGAAAAAAAATTCACGAATCGCTTCCATCTAATCTGTACATCGACATTATCTCGATCTCGGTGAATCTTTTCCCGCTTTGCTTCGATAAAAATGTAATAATAATTTTTACACTTTTGCTCTACGAAAGATGCGTAAGATAAGTAAAAGGATTTCATCGATCGACGCGTTTAAAAAAACTAAGCTTAATCGGAAAAGAAACGACGGTACTAGTCTAAAATAATTTTCGATTAATCAAAACCATTCGATTGGTTATTTTAATTCTCTAATTAGGCTCTACTAATAATAATGTAAATTCATCTAATCCATCTAGTAAGTAGATTTTTTTTTTTTTATTAAATCTTCGATGCTATGATTACTATTAAGATTATCGTTATTATTATTATTATTATAATTATTATTATTATTATTATTATTATTTCTTAAAAAATATATCAGTCCAAATAGAACTATAGATAAAATATATAGAAAATTTTGTCCTTTTTTTTTTTTTTACACGTAGTACCGTCTCCTATCGATCCTTCCAAGGCGATACAGGAAAGCAATAGAAAATAAAATTAACAAATCAACGTCCCTGCGCATGCGTTCTCCGCAGGCCTTTTAATCCTTTGCACTGGTGCGAATCGCAAATAGTACGAGGAATAGTACGATTAATAATAGAAAATATCGTTATATTGTTATTTACATATTAACGTACAAAACTAGAACGTTTCTAGCAGGCGATTAATATATATATATATTATATATATATATATTCGTATATTAATATTAATCTTAATCGTCCCATAACCTCATCAATCGCCGTTTCATAATTGAACCATGTTTACGAATACAAATATATTCGCTCGTATATCATCGTAATTATTATCGCAATTATTATTACTCGATAAAATTGGTTTCGCAACGTTTCGAAACGATCCTTAATAACGAGAACGAGAAAAAAACATCGAAATTTTTCCTCGATCGATTTTTTTTGCGTGTATGATTAAACATTGATACGTTTAAAAAAAAAAAAAGGGAAAAAACGAGTTTTTACCTATAAACGATTAAACTGGCACGAATGATATGCAAAAGGAAAAAAAAAAAGAAACGAAAAAAAAGGTAATAAAAAAAATACGCTACAACTTTAACCTTAATATCTAAGAGCTGTGTTACGTGTTATCGTTCACGCTCACGCGGAGGATCGGAATCACTTGCACAAATTTATATACCTTCAACGTTTCCTCGATTAATCCTAAGTTTACAGTCGTAAGCTCTACGATATCGTTCGAGTGTGTCAAGTTACAATTAATTGAGCGTAGGCAGCTCGTAGTATTTGTTCGTTAGGAGTGCAAAGGCTTAAACAACGAAGGCGTTTATGTATATGTACACAATGATCGAGCACGAGGATGCGCTTCGTCAACTTTGTTGAACTCGTTAACACCTTGGCCTGCGAAACGTAATATTTCTCGGTCGGTTACGCACGGTTTCATGGAAAACTAGTAATCGAGTTAATTTATCGAAGTTTATTAATCTAAGTTCTTTAATCTTTTGCTATTCGATGATTTTTTTTTTTTTTAATGGAATTTTGAATTTGAAGAGAATTCGGATGAAATGTAATATTGAACGATAGTTTTACAGGCGAAAAATAGTTTTAACGCAGCCAAAGTGTTAAAGAACACATCCGCAAGTGGATGACGACCGAAGGAATAATAATAATAATACACACTCACACTTCCTCTCGTGGCTCTCGCACTTTCTCTCCCTTATAAAAATACGTTGGACGGAACCGACGACGAGTCTAGGTCTCCTCGTGCCTTCTTTTTCTTTCTTTCTTTCTTTCTTTTTTTATTCTGTTCTACTTGTATCTCTTTTGTTTTTTCTTCTTCCCTTATTCTCTCGCTTAATTAAAATGGCGTTAAATTTGCGTAACGACGATCGTATTTTTGAGCATTCCGATTCAAATACTCCTTTCCCATCTCTGTTCCATCGAGAATTCTACGGGATCGAAGAAGAATAAATTCAAGAATTCGTTACTCTCGACTCCTTTATCTTCGTTTTAAATTGTGCTTCTCCGATGTTATATAATCGTATAAATTATACATATATATATATATATGTGTGTGTGTGTGTATATATAAATCGAGAAGCCTCGAGAACTTCGATCGACATGACATTTTTAAAAAAGTTAAGTCTAAAAATTGTAGAAAGACTGATATGCAACAGGATCACAAAAAATATTCGATGTTTTTTTTTCAGCAATAAAGGTAATTTACTTGATCACATGGTATAAAAACAGGTTTGTTAATAAAACTCTTATAGGGACGAAAGTGTACATTTTGTAAAGTGAATATACATATTCGAGTAATTCGTTTCTTTCAACTTTTACGCGAGTGTGTCGAGAATAATGTTTCAACGTTGAAAAAAACACGCGATAGTATCGGTTGATGTACGCGTCGCTCGAAAAATTTCATCGATTAAAAAAATATTCGAATCTCGAACAGTCGAAAAATATAACGAGGTCGAACGATTAAAAACAACCGCCCCTGGACCCTTTTTCTTATCTTTTTTCTATTTTTTTTTTTTTCTTTCTTTCTTTCTTTCTTTTCCGTTTAAATACTCTAAGAGAAGAAGGGATCGACACTTAAACTAAACACAAAAACGTTTCGTCCCTCCCGTTAAAATAATTCTCGCCTTTTAAATCTTTAAAAAATAACGCTATATAGTCTTTTTTTTTCTCTTTCTTTTTTT